GAAGGCAAACGGGGGGGTCAGCCCCGGAGGCAGAGGTTTGCGGTGAACCCGGCGTAAGGGGGTCAGGTGGCATTGCAACCCGGCTGCCGGATCGTGCCAGATCACCAGCCCCGGGTGAAGCCCCACGCTCATCTCCCTCCCGGGCACGCTCATCCCCACCCGGTGCACAAAGAGACCAAGAGGGGCTTACGGCTTCCCCCCGGGGGTGGACGCTTACGGCTTCCCGCCGGGGAGGGACGCCAGGCTCGAGGGCAGGCCGGGGGCTCTCATGGGTGGGTGCGGGTCGAAACCAACCTGCCAAGAGACACACACGCGGGTAAGGCCAGGCACGAGCTGGGCACACAAGCAAACGCCTTCCCATCCGCGAGCCCGGGCAGGCATGGGGGCAGTCAGCAGCTCCCTCTTTTCCCTTGCTGCTCAATAGCTCATCGTTATTTTTCCCCCGGCAGAAAGGGGAAGGACTGGGGAACTGGCCAAAGGTTTCTGGTCTGCAAGGACCAGCACGGGACATGCTCACCCTCCCCGCGGGACATGCTCACCCTCCCCGTGCTGTTCTTCTGCAACAGTTGCCCTTTGTTGGACCCAAGGACACGTGGAGGGAACAGGGATTTCCCACTTACTGGTCAGAAACGCTAGCTCAGATGTTTTTCAACTAGCAGGCTGTTACTTGATGAATTTAAGTCATCTAAGAGAAGACTTTCTCTCCTTGTAGCCCTTGCATGCACGCTTCAGAGGTTTGCCACAGGCCTCGGGGGTCTGCGGACCACTCTCTTGACTGATCTCAGAGTAAAAAGGGCAGGGTACATGCGTGCACCCAGAGACAGGAGCAGCCAAGCTGTGCCCAGCACCCCGGCTGCAGAAACCCCCATCTCTGCATTAATGGCAGCGTTTTTGCTTCTTGTTTTGCCTCTATTTTGCCTTAAAGCGTACGACTGAGTGTTTAGCAAGAGTAAGGGGAAGGGGGCTGCAGAGCGGGTGCTTCCCACATGCAGGGGGAAGGATAAACCCCAACGCGGCAGCACACGCGCATCACCCCACGGGGACGCATCTCCATGCCCAAACCCCTTCGACGG